ATCAAAATTAAACTTGTTCTTTGCCTTTCATCCATGGTTTTGTGGTTGTTCCTGCGTCCTGCCTGCCTCAGCTCACACAGCAGCTGTCTGACCAGCAAAGGTCCCACATGGCAGCCCAGCGCCATCATCTCAGCTGCTGCAGCATCCTTGCTGCCCTGACCAGGAGGGAAGCTGGGGAGGGCACAGACACATTACAAAAGGATTTAAATTCAAGAGGCTTTAACCTCTTTAACCTTGCAAGAGCTCTGGTTTCTGTCCTTCAGCTCATGGCTCTCGTGTGCCCAGCCCTCCCCAGGAGCTTGCAGTTCAAGGGATGTTGATGCAGTGGCCAAGGCCTGCGGGGAGGGAGCCCTGCAGCCCCAGCAGGAGAGGGTACCCCAGACTCTGCAGCACAAACGTATGGGAGGAAACACAGTGCTTAAACCTGGAGTCAGGGATGCGATACTGCTGGGTGTCACACAAGCACATGTACCTGCATCCCCAGCACAGCTTTCAGCAGAGGAAGGACATGTTCCCATTTAATGCAGGATACAAGCTCAGGAGTGCTGCAGGCAGCTTCACTGGAACAGCTCTGGAGCAGACACTGCAGCAGGGAAGCAGAACCCGGCATCCATCACCATAAATGAAAGCAGAGCAGGACCCAGGACATCACAGCCATCCCTCTGCCCAGGACAGCAATTCCCACCAGCAGGAAGGAAAGGGAAAACCAGGGCATTTTGATACACAGACATTTGTCACCGGTGTCTAAGGGTAGAAAGACCAAGAACTCAGAGCCAACATGCCAGTCCTGGTAGATGTATAGTTAATTTACAGCCCCCTTACAGGCCAGCTCTCCTGCCCCACCACCACTGCAGAGGTTGCTGCTAGCAGATGACCTGAGCTGAGGACAAGGGAGGGCAGGGGACTGCCGGGCATTGACCTCCAGCCAGAACAGGAAGGCTAGAGACTTTCCGCCTACAATAGCAGAAGCATGTGGAACGTGGAGGTGCTGCGAGCATCCCTGCCCGGGAGTAACCAGGCAGCAGGGACACAGCAGCCCACCCTCCTCCTCCCAGTGCAAGGTCAGGCTAGCAGGAGGCAGGTCAGACTTAAAAACCTCAAAGAAAGGTTAAATTCAGCTAGCAGGAGGTGGGGCAGGCTTTGAAACCCAAATAAAGGTTAAATGCCCAAGCTAGTGTGTACTAGCAGGAGATGTTTTGATAAATATTTGCTGTGTAAGGCATTATCCAAAGGCCATGAACACACATACGTGCTCACCACCTTTCTGGGGCTTGGTCTATAAGGGAGTGTTGTTTTTCCCCAGACCCTCCAGAGCAGAAGTACATCACGGTGCCATTAATCTTCGTGCTGCTCTGACCCAAGTGTTTGGTGTTACCCCGCAGCTGCTTCCTGAGATAGAGCCTTCCAGGTACCCGGCCACACTCTGCCCCGTCAGCAGGACAGGCTCCAGCATCACTTCGGGGCTCACACGGGGGGGCAGCTGGGCAGGAGAGCAAACCTGAACTCCCTGCTCTCACACCGAGAGAGCAGAGGGACACGCTCCATCCCACACAGCCAGGGACTGCCACCACGTGAAGGCACATCCAGGATTGTGCCACCAAACCCCAGGAGCTGGAACGTTGAGTTGAAGAGAGCTCGTTTCTTACAGTTAGACAACAGGCTTAGACGCAAGACAGCAAGTAAATTCACCAACTCCAGTTTGCTAGTTGTGGTATTTTAACAAGTACGTCACTTGTAAGGTATACTACCCATGAGGGTTTGGGGTTGGTTTTTTTTTTTTTTTTGAACAACAGCATCTCACATAGTTTTCCATCAAATCCTCCAGAAACCAACCGGATTTCATAGAACAGTTTGGGTACTAGACCAGGTTGCTCAAAGCCCCATCCAACCTAGTCTTGATTTCCCTTCCAGTATCACCCATAACAACCTCTACAACCCCAAAGATAAGCTGGCACACACACGGCCCTAGGTCAGCCCAGGCTTTTCATAGCCAAGGTTCCCAAGGGCAGTGGGGCTGAAGCCTCGAAGAGCAACCAGTTGTGTTTCTGCAGCACTGACTCTGCACTGCCACATCAACTGCAAGAGGGAAAGCAGCAAATACAACTTTCAGTGCTAATATAAGAAATTATGGGTGGTTCCTCTGCAGCACAGACCAATAAGCAGACACAAGACATAGGCCTAGAAGCATCTCCCAACATTTGCCCAACCATCCTTGGCAGGCAGCCGGGCATTAACAGTCCTCAAGTCCCACTCCACCGATTTGTGACCCTGGCTTATACACCAGGGCTGTTGCTACCTCTGTGATATTCCATTTGACATTCAGACAACATTCAACACTGGCAGACATTTCAAGAGCTTCTTACAAAATAGAAGGGCTGGGATGAGGTGGTAAAGGTGCAGTTGGCCTGCTTGGTAACAAGATGGGGGGATAACTCTGGGATGGCCTCCAGCTGGCTTGTTGTCCCCCAGGAGAGACCAGCACAGCTCTGCAAATCCCAGTAGCCTCAAAAAAACTAGAGATGGATCCCAGGGCAAAGAGCAGAGGGAGGTTCTAACACTTCACTGCGCAAGTGCACAGCCATTGGCATGTCCTCAGCAGCCAGGGACCACCAGCACATGCACAAGTGAAACAGCTCTCTGGAGAAAAGGGGAAATGTCCCGCCTCCCACCCCCCCTCCCCCCGAGCTCATCTGCTCAGCACCAACCTCGTTCTCATGAGCTTTATGTTCCATGAGTTGAGGAGAGGAGCACACCCTTGGTGACCAACAGGACTTTGATGACTCCTCAAGTAAGCAGCCTGTTAGAAGTTCCTACAGTGAGAAGGAAGGTGCCCGAGATAAGACATCCAGTACATTTCTCCCTCAGCTTGTTTCCAGCAAGGACAGAGACCTGCTCTCAATTTGGGGAAGCTGCCAGAGGATTTCAGGAGACAAAGCAGCTGTGGACCATCACCACCCACACAACCTCCCTGCTTCCAGGGCAGCCCCACAGCACCCTCATGGCTCAACAGGTAAGTTCTGTCCAGCTGTGCCTGCAGGCATGAAGAGGATTTATCCAGCATTGGAATAGGCTGCCCAGGGAAGTGGTTGAGGCACCATCCCTGGAGGTGTTCAAAAGACAGGTTGACATGGTCCTCAGGAATATGGTTTAGTGGTTTTTTTGGGTTTTTATTTCTTATTTTTTTGTCAGAGTTAGGTTGATGGTTGGACTAGATGATCTTTGAGGTCCCTTCCAACCTAGACGATTCTATGATTCTACGATTTACATGAGAAGCAGAACCACTCAGCTCAGAGTGTGAGCCAGGACAAACCCAGCTTCCTAGACTCATAAACCTGTGATGTCCCCTCTGTTCTCTGCGAATTCAGCACTGCAGTCCCAGCACAGGATCACGTTATTCCCAGAAAACCGCCAGGACTCCTACACTCTTTCAGCAGCCTTGCTTTGCAAGTTTCACGGCTCATTTTTTCCTGTCTAATCACACACACCACCCCCCCATCCCGGGGATTGGGAAGAGGACTTTGGGTCACACCACGCTCCAGCTCCACGTAAGCCCAGGCTGCCTCAGTCACCAGTGCTCAGAGCCCACAGCCAAGCCCTGCTCTCCCGCCACGCTGGCAGCATTTCCACACAATCACACACTACTTGCAATGGCAGTATTTGCCCTGTGCCCTCTGCTGTTGTCACAGCACCCCTCCACCCCAACAGCAAACAGAGGTACACCTTTCACTAAGCCATTACAGAAACATTCTCTAAGGCCCAGCAGACTCCCTACCCCCCTCCAGCAATATTAGCTCTGCTTCATTAGTTTCCAGCTAATTTCAAACCACTCTGCCTGCTTAGGGGGTGTAGCAAGACCTCAAGACAATGCAGATGTTTTGCTGTCCCTGGTAACTTCTCAGATTAGATGTTTCCCAAGTAATCCAACACTCTGCTTGTTGCCTAAACCAGAACAGTTTATGTCTGTCTGTCAAGAAATATCTTCTCCCCAGATTGGGCCCAGGCACATCTCAATGGATTTAGGGACATTTCCAAGATACCCAAACTATGATTAGATACACCATGAAGAAAAAAAAAAAAATCCATCAACCACAAAATGCAGTGCTGAGTAGTAAATTTACCACTAGTGGGACAGGAAAGAGGGGACATTCCCCTCAAGATCCTCAAAGGCTTATGCAGAAGCTCCCCAAAGAAATCACAGAATGGTTCAGGTTGGAAGGGACCACAAAGACCAATCAGTTCCAACCCCCCACCTGTAAGCAGGGCCTCCTCCTCTCAAATTACTTCATTCTAAGTATTTACAGAAGACTTTATTGCTAAATTTTACTGCTTTGTCCTACCCATCCCCCTTAGGCGTCTCACAAATTAAAGATGTGGCAGAAAAACTCCTTGGCAAGAGGCTTGGTAAGGAAACTGAAAACGCATCACTAATGTTAAACTCCCTGCTGCAGGTAGCACCAACAAACCATGTCTAACCTCAGTCTGATCTGAAGCTACATCAAGCATTACAGGGCTGTGGCAACTGCTCCTATCAACTCACACATGATCACCCTGACGAGACACTCCTAAACACACACATTTGCCAACTGCAGGTAGCACAGAGGAAAAGCATTACAAGTTTTGAGAGCAGCTGCGGTCCCTGCACACAGCACATTTCAAGCCAAGATAAATCCCCGAGCCAAGATCATGCACCGCAAAGCCACCGGGAGTCACACATTGAGCTCAAAGGATCAAATGCCCAGCTCTCCAAACACCTGCAGAATTACCTGCCTCCAGATGTCCACAGCCTTTGTGCCAGCAGCTCTGTGAGCTACAAGCTCTCAAGGCACTTTAAATACAGGTTGCTGAGGAACACAGGTAAGGAGCTGAGCAAAGGCTCTGTGAGCATCTCTCCCCCTCATATCCCAACGCGTTTATCATGATTTTTCAATAAAAACAAGTTGAGAGCACATCCTGTGCTTTGCACAGGCAACTTTCCCATTGCTGAACAGTGCATACAGGTATGAATATAAATGCCTGCAAATTTTATTGCAATCAAAGCCCTTAATTGTATCAGAAATTAAAGGGAACACAATGAAATAATATAAGAGTTACTCTCAAGTGAGAATTCAAAGTTGAACAGAGACATTAGACTGCTTTAATTTTGCATCCAAAAGCAGTGAGGTTTACATCTTGCATAAATTCTTGCTAGATAGAGCTGAACACATTTAACTCTTCTCCCATGATTAGGTGGGGGGGGAGGGGGGGAAATTAAGCCTTGAGTTTAAACTACCTGAATTTGGCAACACGAAATTTAGCCTGCAATGCCACTGAGGTAATGGCTTATCAAGAGGTCACTGTCTTACAGTTCTCCCCTTTGTCCAACAAGGAAATGGCACCATACATCCTTCATAGGAAATTTTCAGACAGAAGATTTAAACTACTGTTGAAGCAATTTAACAATAGATCTTTCCTAAAAATCTGCTAATGCATATCTAGCAATTTTTTTTTTTTGAGATCCTACACTCAGTGTAATTTAAATAGCATTTGAACCATTCCAACAGGAATCACATTGCAAAGAAGCAATTTGCTTCTCTAACATTTTTGCACACCTGCTTAGAGCCCATGCATTTAGAGCACAAGTTTACAAGGTCGAGTCTCTACATGGGTACCTAATAAACACTACAGAGCAGAGTTCTTGGGAACAAGGGCAAACATCTCAGTCTCCAGGCTGTAATGACTTAAGGCTTCTTGCAGCTTCATTTGCCTGGGCAGTGAGAGCCAGAGGAAGCACCATCCACTTTCACTCCTGGTTCAGAGTTGGCACCTGAAGCCACCTGAAGCACTCAGGCAGACTAAATCCCATTGCAGTTGGACAAGTAGACTGGTGACAAGTCAGTTGTGAGTCACTCTGGGACCTTCTGGAAGGAGGGATGAAAAGAAAGTCTTGAAAAAAACCCATGCTGTGCTCATGAATGAGGGGTTGGCCTGCTGCAGTTCTTGTGAAACTTGTCCCTCATCAGGAGGTACCTCAGATTCATCTGCTCTGTGTGCGTTTTCCCCCTGTCAAAATAAAGGGTATTTGGAAAGTGAGATTATTGTAGAAATGAGTTAGAGGAATCAGGTGTCCAACAGCGTGTTTTGTTACCCAAATGTCACTGTCAGACATAAAAATTATCCCCAGACAACCACAGAGTTGAAAAAACAAGCTGCACTCTCTGTGCAGTGCACCACTCTGTGCAGTGGTGTTGGTTAACTCCTGTGGTATGTCCAACACTGTTTGGGACAGACATTAAGCACCTGATCAGGTAAACAATATATGTGTTCACAATTAAGTGACTTCTGCTGATATCAGCCAGGAGCATCAACTGGAAATGCAAGACTCCTAGTGCTGATATCCTCAAATCCTGTCACTCTGAACACTGCCTTCAGACACAGAACCTGTTCAGTCTGGGACAGGCCACTCTCCATCACAGCATCCTAAAGGCCAGAAACACCTAGAAGATGACATCCAGCCTGAGAGTTTGTAGAACAGAGGAGTTAGCTGCAAAGAGGGTGGCAATTATTCCTCCACAGAAGATAGTTTCTGATGAAAGTTTAAAGAACAAAGTTTTTGCTTCTACATTTAATTAGTAAACTGAAAATAAAACTTCACAGCATTTCCTGCTGATGGTTTAAAGCATACCAAGACAGTACCTGTAAGTTATTGTTCTGGTCCTGGTTTATAGCTGCTTGAGGAGCAACATTGCCTGGGAAGGGCTGAACTGGTCTCCGTCTAAAAGGAAGCCATCCAACATGGTGCCTGGAGGAGCCAACAGATTTTTTTTAGTATTGGTTAAAACCCACTCCTTCCTGTTACCCCACCACAGTTCAAGTAACATCTGACCGCTCTGAGCTGCGGGCAGCAAGTTCAGCACATAATGGTCCTTTCTGCCCTGACCCTCACCATAAAGGGCACAACAAAGAACATGTGAAACTGCATTACCTTACCAAACATAACAGGCCATATAGACCTTCTTAGAAAGTCTATCTCTACAGCACCCACACCTTATAACCCACAATATAAGCTGCACAAAGTTACACTTTAGAATTATCAATCATAAAATTTAAGGAGTTTTAATGAAGCAATTAACCTTTACTTTCCAAGGTTGCATAGAGGTCAGGAGAGCTGATCCAGTTTCAACTCTTAGACCCACCACTTGGATCACTTGTTTCACTGGTGATCCAAGAATTTGAGGGGACAGATTATCCCTCTCAGACAGGACACCTTGAGCACATCAACTGAGGGCCCACTATCTTTATTGTGCTCCTGAGACTTATCCCAAGCTTTCCCCCTTAGAGAGGCTCAAAGGCAATCCAGGACACCGCAGTCAGTTTGGCTTGGTTTGCTCTCCACATAGGCAACACAGTAGAAGAACCTGTGTAGGTCCATGTCTTAAATGCAAGTGCAAGACCCTCCTCCCAGGCTTCAAACAACTTGTTCCCCCAACAAGCAACTGTCCTTTACTCTCTTGAACCCGTGTCCGCTCTATGTTGCTGAGGCCTTACACTGAAAGCTACTTAAGTAATTTTCTAAGAAGAAAGCAAACCACACCAGTAGCACAAGTACAAAAGCCACTATTACCCATTCTTCATTTAATGCAGTCATAGCCTATACTTATATTTTTCCTAAATACTGAGTTACACCAGGATAGAGTGGTTCACCCTTTCCAGGTACTGCAGTCATATGAAGCTCAACTCCCAGAAAGCTGACCACAGCCCAGTGCTTCAGTGAAACATTTCCCAATACCACAGTAAATATTAACACCACACACTTACAGATACATCAGCACAGTGCCACCCATAACCAGGAGGAATCTGCTGACACTGGAGTAGAAGTAGATAATGTTGACAAAAACATAGAACAGCGTTGCTGAGTAGAGCCAGTCCAACCAATCCCGATTGCCACCCTCCTCCTCTTCCTCCATGAGGGGACCCCCTTGGGCATTCATCCGCAAGTTCTGGTTGGCCACTGCATTCCCCTGGGCAGCAGCATTCTGGTTTCCAGGCTGATTTTGTGCAGGAAATGGGTCTGGGAGAGGAGCTGGGGGTGTCACTGGGGCCACTGGTATCTCCTGAGAACGCCGTGCATGGGAGGGGTTAGCAGGTGCAGCAGTTGAAGCCAAGCTGAAACCAGAGAACACAAAGTACTGAATAAGGCTTAATCAAATCCTTTCACACTGAACAGGCACCGAAAATTTGCATACATATACACATAGTAGAGAGCAGATCAAACACAAGTAGAAAGCATCAAGTGTAGAAGGTACAGAAGGGTTAAAAACAAGTTCCAATTCTACCCATGAAATAGTTGCATAGTGACTTTAGCAAGTCAAACCAGACATCTTCCACTTCAGGAAGGATAATTTTAATACCTAGCAAATAAATTCTTTAGAGCAATCTAAAGGTAGTCCAGAAGGCTTCTACGAGTCTCAGCTTTCCCTTGGTCACTGATTTCCAGACAGCACTACAGAAAAACGGTGAAGAGCCAAGGCTCATCAGCAGGGTTACAGTTACTCTACAGACTCCTTGCACTTAAAGTGCAAGATTCAAAACCACCGGCCTGAACAGTAAACCAAGCACCCTATGAGAGTTGGAGGTACATTCCTACACTATTCTGCATAAGTTATGAAGAGTCTTCCAACCACCATCAAGAGAGGAAGAAGCTATTTCCTTGTATTCCCGTTTCTACTGGTAGCTTTGGACAGAAGACTTACTATTGCATGTAATACTGTCTTGCATAAATCTGTTGAAGCCAGGACATCTGAAGCATGCTGTAGGTCGTATAAGCAAAGAAGCCAGGAGCCACACTTTGGAAGGGATGCCAAGTCGTCTCCAGCCTTGGTCAAAATTTAAACACATTCATTAGCAAATACTGGACAAACTACAGGAGTCATTTACTGCAGCACAAATGTAAATAGCTTCTGCCATTTTGTACATCCAAATGCAAAATTAACTCTTCCTTCTGAAGTATTAAAGACATCTCTTTGCCCACATGAATAAAGGGAAGATTTTCAACTAACAGAGCAGTACATTTTCCTTCAGCTTCTTCCAGAGCCACTAAAGCTTTTATATACAGCATCACCTTTGGTCCATGTTCTATGGGCTTAGGACAGTATGTGTGGCATAAGGAGCTGGCATGCAATAAAGCCACTAAAATCTTTAAAGTATTGACCTATGTAAAAATTGTATTTACCTGTTACTGGCTTCTGCTGATGACTGGCCACCAGAAGGGCATCTCAGTCTTTCACCATTTGAGGAAGATGTGGACAGTTCTTGACTAGCTTCTGACGGTAACTTTGGCTGATCAGCTTTCACCTGGGGACAGCAATGCAGTTAACAAGGGTTATTCAGGACACCGTACAAGCAGGTTATGCTACACTGAACAGGTTCTTATTTTATAACTGCTACATGGCTCATATACTTTGTCCTGCACAATACCTCTGGCACTGCCACAGAGGTGATACTGCTCTTGGGCACCATGCCACAACAACCTCTATCAGTATTTTAGAGCCCCTTAAGAAGTGACTGGCATGTAAAAGTGACTTGATGTCACTCTTCTCTTTCACCAGATCTACACCTTTATTAATTTTTATGCATGCATCCAGGTCCCATCTAGCTATAAAAATGTAATCAGAAGAAACAGAGGGAACTGTACTCAAGACAGTTTGACTTTTTAGCTATGGTAAGTCTGTACACACACACATGAGCTGCTGTAAAGAGAATTCAAGACCTGTTGCGTGGTGATACAACAGACACCACCAGACCAAAGCTGACTGGTGTCTAGCAACCACCAGACAGACAGGATAAGCTCAAATTGCCCATAATGGACAATATAAACGCACCTCCAGACACATTAGCACATCCACTTCAAAGTGAAAATTGGTTTTGGTCATTTGCACTCAACACCAGCAAGTACTCAGTCCAAGCACTAAGGCTCATCTTTGGCTTCTTCTCTACAGGCTGAGTCATTAATGATCAGTTAAAATGTCTTCAGCTAACAGCCTTCTTCCTTCCCCACACACACCCCAGAACCACTTCCACTCTGTAACTACAATGTTTTCTGCCCACAAGCACAGCCTCTGTCTGAAAAAGCCTGGGACACAACAGGTCACATTCTATTTAATAAAACTGAATTTACCAGAAATCATTTATCCTCTGAGCAGCGTGTTACAACTGGATTATAGTTTTGATATTTCTTAACAGATGCCACAAGAATCTTTACTAATGAACCACAGAGCCAATTTTTAAATCAGCTTAATCCAAACACTTTGTGATAACTTGGTTAGGAATGTGAGAATGCAATACTGCCATTGCACCAGTAGGAAAAAGTTGCAGTATCAGTGAACTTTAAAATAGCCATTTGATACTTCCTGTTTTCAGTCACAACCCCAAGTTTCAGAGTAACATGTTAATTTAGTCCAAGTACCTCTGCACTGGTTTCTTGCACACTTGCAGGAGTCTTGAAATTGTATACCAAATGAAGAGCATGCAATTCCCCGTGCTAAAACATAAGGGTAGAAGGATTAAAAAAAAAATATCACTTTTTTGACATATTTCAGCACAGCATAAAAGATTTTCTTATACCTTTGGCAGGATTTCTCTCAGATATTGATGATCAAGCAGGAGCTTCCCAGAATAAATCAGCTTTTGGTCCTCTTCAGGCTTTGAAGAAAGAAAGCAAACAATAGAATTACTTTCCCCGCCAAGCACCCTGAAACGTGAACTGACACAACTTGCAGGCGGATGGAGAGAGACACGCATTAAGGTGCACATCTCAAGTTCAGCTAATGAGATCTGAGAACACCGAAGTGCAAGATCACCCAGGCTGACATCAGCAGGAGGCTAAAAACACCCCTTCGGCAAAGAACACACTGTCTCTTTCACAGTCTGGACAGGCTGGAGAACTGGGCAAGGAAGAACCTCATGAGGGAAAAGTGCAGGATCCTGCACCTGGGGAAGGAGAATGTCAGGCACCAATACAGGTTAGGCATGGACCTGCTGGAGACAAGTTCCGAAGAAAAGGATCTGGGGGTCCTGGTGGACAACAAAATGACAATGAGCAAACAGTGTGCTCTTGTAGCCAGGAGGGCCAACGGAATCCTGGGCTGCATAGGGAAGAGTGTGGCCAGCAGGTCAAGGGAGGTCATTCTGGCCCTCTGCTCTGCACTGGTGAGGCCACAACTGGAATCCTGCCTCCAGTTCTGGGCTCCCCAGTTCAAGAGGGACAGGGAACTACTGGAAAGAGTCCAGCGTAGGGCAACAAAGATGATTCAAGGATTGGAGCATCTCCCTTATGAGGAGAGGCTGAAAGAGCTGGGACTCTTTAGTCTGGAGAAGAGAAGGCTGAGGGGAGATGTTATTAATGCCTACAAGTATCTCAAGGGCAGGCTGAGGGAGGAGGGAACCAGACTCTTTTCAGTAGTTGCCAGTGAGAGGACAAGGGGCAATGGGCGCAGTTGGAACATAAAGGGTTCCACTTGAATATGAGGAAGAACTTTTTCACGGTGAGGGCGACGGAGCCCTGGAACAGGCTGCCCAGGGAGGGTGTGGAGTCCCCTTCTCTGGAGATTTTCAAGACCAGCCTGGATGCAGTCCTGAGTGACATGCTCTGACAAGCTCTGGGTGGCCCTGCTTTAGCAGGGGAGTTGGACTAGATGATCTCTATGGTCCCTTCCAACTCTAAAAATTCAGTTAAATTCAGTGAAAAGTTTCTGGTTCTCGGAGGTTGTGGAGCAGGCTCTGAGCCAGCCGGGGCTGGGGGGGATTAAACCAACCCGCTACACCCCACAGCAGCCCCGCAGCAATTCTGCAGCCCGGCTCCCGGAGAGCCACCGAGCCCCTCCAGCCGGATCGCGGCCACCGAGCCCCCGCCGTGCCGGGCCCCGCACGGCTGCGGTCCCGCAGGGAAACACCTCCGAACACCCGCTCACCTCCCTGTGGCCGGACCGGGGGGAAGGGGTTCCGAAACACAACCCAAGGGCTCCTCAGCCTACTCGCCACCCCCGGCGGCGCGGTGGCCCATCCGCGTTCCCCGGGCAGGGCGGCCAGCCCCTCCCGCGGAGGGCCGGTGATGTTTAACCACGGCCGAAGGGGAAGCCCGGCCAAGCCCCGAGCCGGCCCCACCGCCCGCCGGGCGGCTGATGCAACCACCCGCGGGGGGTGGAGGTGGAGGCGGCCCCCGGCGGGACGCCCCGCTCCCCCCCCTCTCCGCGCCCCGGCCTGACGCCCCGCTCCACCCCTCCAGCGGCCGCTAAAGGGGCCGTGCACTCACCGGTGCCCCGGGGACGAGACGGCGCAGCTCGGCCTTGAGGCGGCGCACGGTCCACGCGGGGGCGGCGCGGAGGCGGAGGTCGGGGTGCCGCTGCGTGGGGCTGCGGACGAGCAGCAACAGCAGCCCCTCCATAGCGGACACACAGCACTGTCAGACGCACCCGCTGCCTCCACCCACCCTTTTATAGGCGCCCGCCGAGCTCCGCCCTGCCGCAGGGCCGCGGTGGCTTCAGCCGATTGGCTGCGGCGGGAGCGAGGGCGGGAGCCGCCACGTGGGCCAATGGGACGGAGCCCCGCGTGCGGCGCCACGGGGAGGTCTCCGCGGCAGGCGGAGGGTCTGATTGGGCGGTGCCGCTGAGGGGGCGGGACTCCAGCGCCCGTCGTAACGTCACCATGGCGACCGTGATCCGGGCCGGGGCCCGTGAAGGGCCGGCGGCCATGGCGGGGCGGCGGGAATGGTCCTGCTGTCGCCCCGGCGCCAGGCCCCTGACCTCCTTCCATCTCGGCCGGTGGCGGCCGGGCCCGTTCCGCCCGCGAGCCCCGCAGGGAGCGGGGCGGCCTCACCGGGCTGCCGTGGCCGCCCGACGTCCCCCGGGCCGCGCTGGGCCTGAGGGAGCTGAGCGCCCCCTCCCGCCAGGCCGCAGCCCCACCGCGCCCGGCACCGAGCAGGGAGAGCGGACGCGTAAGCGGGCTTCTCCTTCACACATCCGTTCTGCCCCCCACCAGCCTGCTCCAGCCCTCTTTTGGCCCGCTCCAGCCTGGCTGCCCCACTGCGACGGGACTCGGCGCTGCGGACCCTTGGGCCAAAGCCCCACCACACGTTACCTTCAGCAGCAATGACAGCTTTAGGGATCTCTGGTGTCACGCTTCCCTTTCCCCATCGCCCGCAGGAACAGCACAGCTCCCTGTGGGGCCACATGTGCACTGGATCCACAGCCTGGCCCGGGTGAAACGCCATCGCCTTCACTTGGCATGTGGCCAGCGTACCAGATCTGCAGAGCCACCTCCGCGGGTCTGTTTCTGACATTGTGGGGACAGGACGCAACATGCTTCTGATGTGGAGTCAAAAGGAGTGCACAGGGGATAACGTGGGGAAATGTGATCGTTCAAGAAATTATCACTGACCAAAAAACCAACCCCCTAAAAATGTAGAACAGCAGCTTCTGAGTGCTTCTCCCCATACTCATCTTCCTTTGAGATGTGATCCGGCTCGGGGAAACCAGTGGCAGTGATCCTGACGCACCAGGAGGGGTTTTTAGCGTGCTTTAAAACACTATCACAGCAATGTGAGGAGCCAGTGCTATCTGTCAGCACTGTGTATTCACTCTGCGTGTTTCATTAGCTGCTCAGTATTCTTTGGCAGCCAGACCTGTTGCCCAAAGGCATGGATGAGTTCGCAGCCAGTAACAGATTTTGCAACCAGAAAAGACGTTCTGCCACGAGGATGCGTCACCTCGCTGGTTCCTGGGGAAGAGCTGTGCCACGGGGCACCGCTGCCTCGGGAGCCGGCGAAATAAAATCACAAAGAAATGAACTGAACCTACGTCTGGTCCGATGGACCTTCTGTGGCTGCCAGGACACATCCTTGGGAGGCTGGACAATGCCGGGAACCTGTTCCTGTGTCACATCCCGCCCCACTCCAAGCAGGGCAGCAGCAGGATTCACTTCAGAGCTCCCCACCCGTCCTGCCTTCGGCTCTCCCCGACAGGCTCAGTGCTCAGGTGGGCTTTCCCTCCCCAGCCACAGCTCAGTCCCTCCTGAGCCAAGGAGATGCTGGCAGAGCTGTCTGCCCTTCTCCCTTAGCCGTGGGGACCCTGATCCCTGTCTTCCAGCTCCTGACGGCAGTGAAGGAGGGAGAAACAAGCACCACATCCAAGGCTGTCGTTGCCAATACCCCTGATTAAGGTTAAGATTACTTTCTTTGCCATTCTCTTGGTGGCAGCCTTTGCTCAGAGTGCCCAGAGGGCTCCCGTTGGTGGCAGGGACAGGGTAAAGCTGTTTAGATACTGGTAACAACCAGGTTCTTGGGCTCTGTGTGTGCGTTTTGCTGGGACTCCCTGCACCATTGCTGGCCTGTGGAGCTGCAGTCACAGCGCTGATCCTGCCTCGAGCTCAGACTCCTGCTTTTCACTCCCCTGTCAGGGACAAGAGGGACAGAACTCACCAGAGCTGCCCATCTGCTGCCCCAGCCATTCCTGGGAAAAACATCACTCATGGGAATGTGCTGGACAATGTCCTGTGGACCCGGCTCTGAGCAGGGGCTGGGGGAGTGATCTCCCAAGGTGGCTGCCAACCTGAATGTTCCTGTGATGCCAAACCTCAGCCCCCTCCTCTGAGCCAGGGGGTACTAAGACCCCCGCAGAACCAGGTCCTTGCTGCCCTCACCCGAAGCAGCCAAGAACTGGTGGATCTGAAGTCAGTAAATGCATCTGGACATTTGGCAGCACGTGCTCTGGTCCACGAAGCTGATTCAGAGCTCCTGGAGCTAAGGCAAAACAAACACCTGCCCCGATACTGTCTGCTGAGCTTAGGGCTCACGCTGTAGATGCCAATTTGGAGACACTGTGCAAAACAGAAGGCGTGACCAGCACGTCACTCCCACCATCCTGCTGAACAATTACCTCTGATTGACCAAAATTAGAGATGAAGGGCTGCAAGCTTCTTTTGTCAGCTGGGCAAACATTAACCCTGGTGTAAATCGGGATTATCTCTCTGACCTCAGCACAATTACTCTGTTTAAAAAAAAAAACAAACCCTAACACCTGGGATGGGGGTAAGTTGCTGCCGAGTCTCCAGCTCGGTGTGCGGTCGGGCCCGGTTTCACCGCCTGGTGATCTCGGCATGGCAGGAGCAGCCAGCGGAGAATTTGCCGGTAGGTGAGGAGGTGTCCCGTGGCCTCGCAGCCCCGCGCTCCACCTGTGCCCACCCAAATGCAGTGACACAGGGCAAGGGCCGGCCAGGAGCTGTGGTGGAGCTGCCGTGGGGCTGGGGTCTGACGCAACGTCGTGTGGTCCAAAGAATCATAGAATCATAGAATCGTCTAGATTGGAAGAGACCCCTGGGATCATCGAGTCCAACCATCTACCCTACTCTACAAAGTCATCCCCTACACCATGTCCCTCAGCACTGCATCTAAACGGCCCTTAAACACAGCCAGGGATGGTGACTCCACCCCCTCCCTGGGCAGCCTGTTCCAATGCCCTATCACTCTTTCGGTGAAAAATTCCTTCCTAATGTTCAGTTTAAACCTACCCTGTTGGAGCTTGAAGCCGTTCCCTCTCGTTCTGTCACTAATTCCTTGTGAGAAGAGACCAGCACCAACCTCTCTACAGTGTCCTTTCAAGTAGTTGTAGAGAGTGATGAGGTCTCCCCTCAGCCTCCTCTTCCTCATCCTAAACAGTCCCAACTCCCTCAGCCGCTCTTCATATGATTTGTTTTCCAGCCCCCTCACCAGCTTCGTTGTCCTCCTCTGCACTCGCTCCAGCACCTCGATATCTCTCTTGTATTGAGGTGCCCAAAACTGGACACAATACTCGAGGTGTGGCCTTCCCAGTGCTGAGTACAGGGGCACAATCACCTCCCTGCTTCTGCTGGTCACACTATTTTTGATACAAGCCAGAATGCCATTGGCTTTCTTGGCCACCTGGGCACACTGCCGGCTCATATTCAGCCGTTTGTCAACTAGAACCCCCAGGTCTCTTTCTTCCAGGCAGCTTTCCAGCCACAAAAGTAGCTCCACGGGCCGGGACAGGGCAAGGATCAGCAGACGGCCTGATGCAGGGGGGCTGAGCATATCGTTGGGTTAGGGGCTGGCTCCAAGAAGCGTTTCATGGCGTGGTTGTCGCAGCCCCTTTGGCCGGTGTGGACCTTGTTGAGGCGGTGGGGCTGGCGACCCTGGAGCAGGGTGGGAGCTGTGCGGGGACAGGGTCACTCCTCCCTGCCCGGACACAGCCACTCGTCCCCGGAGATGTGTCCCCAAGGTGTCCCCCGCCGTCACAGCCCCTCAGCACCCGAGGAGAGGTTCTTCTGCCTCGGGCGCAGCGACACCAGCCCTTTGACCGGTGATGTGGTGTTGGGGGATATGGTGTAGGGGAGAACTTTAGAGTAGGGTGGATGGTTGGACTCGATGATCCCGAGGGTCTCCTCCAGCCTAGATGATTCTGTGATTCTGTGACCTCCGGCAGTTCCCCGCCTTCTGCTCACCCGTCCCACCGCCCGGTACCGCCGCTCACCCCCCCGGCCCAGCCGCCCTCCCCTCGCCGATGGTCCCCGGCAGCAGGGGGGTGTAACTGGGGATAGGCGGCGGGGCCGGTGTCACAGGCCAGGCTGAAATGGTCTCCCGGTGCCCCGCCAGCCCCCTGCCGAAGGGACACCCCCGGGGCTGTGGGGGGGCTGCGGGAGCGGCAGGACCGGCGCCGGGACACCCCCGGAGCAGCGGAGGCTCCCACCGGTGACACTCGTGGGGACTCCGGCCCCACGTCTCCCCGAATCGGGCATAATTGTGCCGCTGACGGGGTTCCCGGTGGCGGCGGGATGCCCGGGGTTACCGGGGCGGGAGGGGGGGGGGAGTCCCGCCGGCCCGGCCCCGCCCCCGTTGCCACGGCGACGTTGTC